TAATCTTTTTTTAAAGCAATAAAAGGGATTGAACTTGCATCACACACAAATCTAAAAGGCTGTGCGTGATTTGTCTTCTCCAAACAAATTTGTCGTGTGAAACATTAGTCTTTTTCAAGCCACCTCCATTGGACACTTAAATTTGGACTCCTTTAACATATGACGCACAGATCTAGATTCAGATCGTACCTCTTCGGCTTTTTGTTCTGTTGGACTACTGCCACTACTCGTTCTAGTTTCATGCTGCGCGTATATCTTGGTTGTATTGTGATTTAGCTCTTAGCTCTTAGCTCTGATAGCAAAAAGATCTTGGTTTTGCACCTAGGTTTGGCTCTTGATTTGAACTGCCACTGCTGCTCCTTCTAGTTTCACATTACATGCATCGACGATTCATTTTCATCGTCGCTCGAAATCTATTTCTCTTGGTTTAGCTACTGTTGCCGTCACCTCTAATTTCTCTTGCAGGTAGCAATTGAGGACAAAAGAAAAAACCACCAGATATGTTTTTTCCTTCCCTTTTTTTCTTTTTTCTTATTGGCTCTTTATCTAACCTAGTTCTGATAGCACTTGTTGGAAAATTAATCCCAAATACGCACATAATCATAACAAAGTAGAAAAAGATAAGAAAAAAACAAAAGATTTAATGTGATTTAACAAATATGCCTACATCAACGGACAAAACCACAAAAAAGTTTTTTAATTTTAATAATTTGAGAGTACATTATCAATAGATTATAGAATTTTTATATAGAGAAATTATGAGAGTTTTTCTCCCAAGAAATTTTATGGAATATACATAAAATATCCTGCAAAATAAATACAAAATATCATTAATGATAAACATAAAATATATCTTAGTATATATATAAAATATCATCCAAGATATAGATAAGACATCCCCCGAATAAAACCACATCAACATTATCTATTTCTGTTAATTAAATGTAAAAAATTTGCTCTTTTATCTAATATAGAGTTTAGCAATTTGAGAATTTTAAGTCTTATTTTAATATATAACTTGTAAAGTTTCAATGAATAGAATTGTAATTAAATGTTTAAAAATTATATTAACATAGATTGCGATTATGCCACTAAAATATAAACTTAATCAATTATGAGGTATATAATTTTCACTCTTATTTGTCTATGTTTGTCTAGGTTGAACTCTTATTCTTTTTTTAGTCTTTCAGGAAGGTTGGATGAGTTTAAACATAATATATAGAGATTGGAATGGAAGATTCATCTTTGCAGGCATGTTTCATATCTTTCCTCTTAATTTCATCGAAATTGCAAAGACTCTAACGTCGCTGTATAGAGACATTAAAACATAAGCTTCTTCTCTATGATAATCTGAAGTCGCATCATTCAATGAATTTTGGTTGTTGATGGAATGGAAAAATTATAGTCAGAAGTAGCGCGGGTGCCTTAATTAGGAAGATGTTACTGTTCAAGAGCCACCTTATTATTATCGTTGTTATTATTTGGTTTGCACCTTTAAAGCATGATAGCAGCCACTCCTTTTTATAAATCAAAATTAAGTTTGTTCTATTTCTAAATATATATAATATTTATATTATCATAGGAATTTATTTTGCCAAATTTCTATTTTTTCTTATTTAACTCTCAGAAGCCACCTTATTATTATTTTTTGCTTTACACCTTTTTAAGAATGACAGCAGCCGCTCTTTTTTGTAAATCAAAATTAAGTTTGTTCTTTTTCTCTCTCTCTCTCTCTCTCTCTCTCTCTCTCTCTCTCTCTCTCTCTCTCTCTCTCTCTATGTGTGTATATATATATATATATATATATATATAATTTTATATTGTTTTAAGGAATTTTTTGTTTTGCCAAATTTCTATTTTTCTTTCTTATTCAATAAAAGCAGACTATTAAGTTTAACACTAAATAAGTTCAGGAATCCGCTTGGAAAGTCTCCAAAATAATAATTAAGAGCCCACAAGACTTTGCCTACACATAACCATCTCCTTCTCTATTTAATTTAATCATGTCGACCCGTACAGATTAACGTTTAAGCATAGAATCTAAGCCGTTGCTTCAGACCTGAGACTTCACACATTTAGTATTATCCCATTTCAGAATACTTTCAATAGCCTAAACCAAAAAAGAAAAGGCAAAATGGATGAGACGATCATCATCAAAGGAACAGTTGTTCTGATGAAGAAAAACACTCTGGATTTCCATGATGTTAAAGCTTCTTTTCTCGACAGAGTTCATGAGCTTCTGGGCAAACGAGTCTCTTTGCAGCTCATCAGCTCCGATCACCCTGACCCAGGTGCTCTCTTTTTCTCTTTTCAATATTTCTGATCATAAATATCAGTTGAAGAACAAATCCAATAATGGTTTCTCTCCATCTAAATATATAATCAATCTGCTGCTCTGTGCAGAAAACGAGAACAGAGGGAAGATGTCAAAGGAGGCGTACTTGGAGAAATGGGGGAGGACAATCACGTCGTTGGTAAAAGTGGGAGAAACTGCATTGTCTGTGAGATTTGAATGGGGGAAGAAGATGGGTGTTCCTGGAGCTTTTATAATAAGAAACTATCATCACAGTCAGTTTTACATCAAGACTCTCACATTAGAAGATGTTCCCAGCCATGGCCGACTCCATTTTGTCTGTAACTCCTGGGTCTACCCAGTTCATCATTGCAAATATAATCGTATTTTCTTCTCTAATAAGGTAAATTAATTGATTTGCTTTCAATCTTTTCTTCTCTATCATCATCAGGTTAAGAATTTGCATTTCCTCTTTTCTCTTTTTCTTTAATCTATATAAATTTATATGCTTGGCCCATTTGTCTGTCCAGCCCGTTCATCAGTTCCCCCACGAACCTGTTTTTTTATAGATGTAGTAGAGTTTCCAAGAAAGTCTCTCCACCTATATTAGTTATAACTGTTGAACAATATAATGCATATACACTGATAGACAAGTGTTTACATGCTTGATATGAGTTTGTAGAGCTACCTGCCATTTGAAATGCCAGAGCCATTGAGGAAGTTTAGAGAAGAAGAACTGGCTAATCTCAGAGGAAATGGGAAAGAGGAGCTGAAAGAGTGGGATAGAGTGTATGATTATGATTATTATAATGATTTGGGAGGTTCCGAGGATCAACGTCCTATCCTCGGAGGATCGCAGCAGTATCCATACCCTCGACGGGGAAGAACTGGCCGTAAACCTACCAAAGAAGGTATTTATTGTACTTTCAACCTCTTTGAATATTATTATGTATAAAGTAAATACAAAAATATTGGTAGTCTGTCATGTAGAGATATTAATATTGTTTATAATAGTATTAAATTCAAATAGATAAAAAAATTCGTTATTCTGAACTGATTAAAAATAAAGTATTAATATAGTATATAATAATTATCTATTCAAATTTTATATTTATATTTAAAAAATAAATATATTATATGTCATATTTGTATAATTGTTGTTTTTATATATAAAAATATATAAAATAAAGTACGCTGTAGATTTTGTGAGATATACATGTTATGAATATAATAAAAAATTTTAATCCATCTAATTTTAGTAGACAAATTTGGCCGCCTCATATTATTTATGACACTTTTAGATTAAATTTTTTAAACAAATTTTATGTAAAAATTACAATTTCTGTAACAGGTAATAACTTAACAAATGTCACTGTATATTAATAATTTATATCACTTAAAAAATTTGTTAGTAACACATTTACTATAAATATGTGAATGAAATATTATTATTACTTATTTATTTATTTTATTATTGTAGATCGCAGATATGAGAGTAGATTGCCACTTCTAAGTCTAAATTTTTACGTCCCAAGAGATGAGAAATTTAACTATGTCAAGTTTTCAGACTTCATAGCATATGGTCTGAAAGCACTCGTCCGAGTATTGGTCCCTGAAATTACATCTTTATGCGATAAAACTATAGATGAGTTTGATAGTTTTGAAGATGTGCTGGATTTATATCAAGGAGGTATAAAATTACCGAATGGCCCGACCATTAACAAGATAAGAGAGCTTGTTCCTTGGGAGATGCTGAAGGAGCTTATTCGAAATGATGGTGAGAGGTTGTTAAAATTTCCCATGCCCGATGTAATTAAAGGTAAGAAGTTTTATTCTTTATCTTGTAGATTTCACTAGGGAGAAAACGATTGTGTGGAAATTTTAGAGTTACATCTTCTTTTGATTTTTGTTTGCAGAGGATAGATCAGCTTGGAGGACAGATGAAGAGTTTGGAAGGGAAATGTTGGCTGGTGTTAACCCAGTAGTCATCAGACTCCTACAAGTAAAAAAAGAATTTATAAATTTACCTACACATACATATATATAGGTATATAATGTTCATCTTTCATCGTGATCAACCTCTATAACTTACTTTATGCAGGAGTTTCCTCCAGCCAGCAAACTTGATCCTAGAGTGTATGGAAATCAGCACAGTTCAATTACAAAGGAGCATATAGAAAAGAACATGAACAGGCTAACAGTAGATGAAGTAATCCATTTTATATTATCCACTTCATCTATTAATCCGTATATATGTATATGTAAGTATAACATGCTGTTATTTTTATACAGGCACTGGAAAAGAAGAAACTATTTATATTAGATCACCATGACACTTTAATGCCATATCTAGCACGAATAAACTCCACCAAGACAAAGGCTTATGCAACTAGAACAGTACTATTTCTACAAGATGATGGTACTCTGATACCAGTCGCCATTGAGTTAAGCTTGCCACATCCACAAGGAGATCTCCATGGCTCTGTCAGCAAAGTTTTCATTCCAGCCGAACAAGGCGTCAAGAGTTCAGTCTGGCAGCTGGCTAAAGCTTATGTTGCTGTTAATGATTCTGGTTATCACCAACTCATAAGCCACTGGTAAGTATAATATATAAATCTGTATACACATATATAATATATATGTTTGAACTACTGCATTTAATTTTTGTAGGTTAAACACCCATGCTGTTATAGAACCATTTGTGATTGCAACAAATAGACAACTGAGTATAGTTCATCCAATATATAAGCTTTTACATCCCCACTTCCGTGATACAATGTATATAAATGCTCTTGCTCGTCAGATCCTCATCAATGCTGGTGGGGTGTTGGAGAAAACAGTTTTCCCTGGTAAATATTCGTTGGAAATGTCTTCTGTCATCTACAAAAACTGGGTGTTCACGGAGCAAGCGCTTCCGGCCGATTTGCTTAAAAGGTAACGATTTTAATTATATTAATTACCCAAATATTTAACATCATTATTCCTAAGTTATACACATACTAATATTGATCCATCATCTATGTGTCAAGAGGTGTGGCCATCTTAGATTCAAGCAGTCCTAATGGAATCAAGCTTCTGATAGAGGATTACCCATATGCTGTAGATGGGTTAGAAATTTGGACAGCAATTGAAACATGGGTGAGTGAGTATTGTTGTTTTTACTACACTACAGATGAAATGATTCGAACCGACAATGAGCTACAATCGTGGTGGAATGAGGTTCGAACCAAGGGCCACGGTGACAAGAGAGACGAACCATGGTGGCCCGAGTTGCAGACAAGATCAGAGCTTATACAAACCTGCGGAACTATTATATGGATAGCTTCTGCACTTCATGCAGCTGTAAATTTTGGACAATATCCGTATGCTGGTTATCTTCCAAATAGACCAACTTTAAGTAGAAGATTCATGCCCGAACCAGGAAGTTCAGAGTATGCTGAACTTGAGTCAGACCCTGATGTGGGAATACTGAAAACAATCACACCTCAGCTTCAAACTCTTCTTGGTATATCTTTGATTGAGGTTCTGTCACGGCATACTAATGATGAGATTTATCTTGGGCAGAGAGAAAACTCTGAGTGGACTTCAGATGAGGAAGTAATAGCTGCATTTGAGAGATTTGGTAAGAAGCTTCAAGAAATAGAAAACAATATCATACGACGGAACGATGATAAGAAATTGAAAAATAGAGTAGGACCAGTTAAAGTACCATACTCTTTGCTTTATCCTAATACCTCTGATTATTCCAAACAAGGTGGGTTGACAGGTAAGGGAATTCCTAATAGTATCTCAATTTAAAGCTTTCTTTACATATATATATATATATAATTACATAAATAGATAGATATGACTGTAATGTAAGTTTAAATTTTGTGTATTCATTCTTTTGTCATGTATTAATTAAGCAGGACAAGTGATATTATTCTGTTTAATTTCAACATTCTTCTGTAACAATGATGTGTAATAACAATATGTACTTGTTGGCAATTTAAAAATTTTATAATTGTCTTAAAAAATGAATTTGATAATCAAGTAAACACTCCAATTTTAGACTGGCCTACTGATGTCTTCTCACTAGCTTAAATCTAGCAGCATAGGCTTACCTATTCATCACAGACCTACGCTACACACCTTGCTTGCCCTTCCCTCCAGAAAGGAATGGAATGAAAGACCAGTCTCATCCCCTTCCCCCGCTTTCAGTTCTTTCTGTGCATCAATGTCATCTTGCGGTACCCTCACTATTGAGCTTGAGCTTGGTGAGCCAGAAGGGTCCGGAAGAGAAAGTGGCAGCGCTCCCATGTCAAGCCTGTTATTTGTTAGCTTATTGAAGTCAACCAACAAATCTCACTCGCAATATATTTTTTTTCTTGCACCTCGCACCCTAATCTCTCTCTCTCTCCACTTTCTCTCTGTCACCCGAAGTTCTCTCTTTTTCTCTCTGATCGGCTTCTGTTTTCCAAATTCTTCTTTATTTCTCTAGTTTTCCCCTGCCATGATTGCCGCCCATGCTTCACTGTTAGAGAAAATGAATTATATATTCTAACAAATATAAAATAGACCCGTTCTTAAATTATATCTGAGCCAAGTAATTCTTTATCTGTCTATCCAATACTTTTGCTGCTTGTTTCAAGTCGTATAACGCTGCCTTGTTCATTCCCCTTTCAGCTAAAAATACTTTTGGTGCTCGACTCTAATCTTGATTTTCTACTTATTTTTCTTTAAACTCGTCCACTTTCATATCATCTTCTCCATCCCAAATTTTTAGTGCTTATTAGCTTCTTCAAAGTTTTGTATCTCAATTAGTAAGAAATTAAATAACTCACAAATTTTTATTAAATTTTTTCTGTGTCTTAAAAATGATTATGGAATATTTGATTTTTCTATAATATTTCTATTAGAATTTGGACTCAGAACAATTATATTCATCTAATTCAAAAACACAGTTTATGAATTTTGAAATTTAAAGAATATGAACTTTGAAATTTAGAGTAAAGAAAGAAGATTGGCATATAAAGTGAGGGTGTAAGTATATATGCTTGTCATTTAGGAAATCAATAATTATCTTTTTATCTTTATAATATAAAAATAATTTTAAATATATAAAAATAAAAATAATATGATAATATAAGTGATAATTATCTATTTGTTTAATAAGATAATTTAATGTGAGAATATATAATAGTTATTTATTAATTTAATGTAATAATATGTAATAATTAGTTTTTTAAATATCTTAATATAAAAATAGTATTTGAGTATGACTATGTTTTTATGTGGTTTATTTTTGGTTGGTTACAAACTTTAGACTTATTACACTATATAAATTCTTGATTATATATTGTTTTTCCTCACATTTTATTCATTCTGCAAATTTTTGGCCAAAAACTAAGACTCGAAGGAAAAACAAATCAGGCCTCTTATGAGTGAGGTGCATAAAACTTCCGCTATGCTTCTGAAACAAGTACTGAAAACCTTGTAATTCGTAGTTTCAGTTTTCTTCAATACATTTGCTTTATAGTTCTTTTGACATACAATAATACCAAGTGAATATTTCATTGATTCAACTCCTAACAAATAATAGAAAGAATCCAAATATGTATTTATGAAGGTTTGCATAATGGATATTGGCCTGAAGCCTATGAGCAATTTGTCAACTGTGGGTTTGGCTGTTCAGGTGTAGCAGAAGCGAAGAGTGAAGAGGAGAAGAGGAATGTTGCAATGGAGGATTAGAGGTGATATGGTTTTGTACTGTGCTGGGGATTAGTGCAAGTCATTTAAATATTATAATATATTTAAATAATAAAATAATTAAAAATTAATAGAATCAAAAGATGGATAAATAACTCGTGCTATTGCTTGGTTTGAATAGTTGAGTTGCTAAATTTTTTTAAATACTTAAACGATGGAATAATGTACTGAAGAAAATTTTTTATGCTTTGAAACCTAATAAAACTGTTTCTATTTATAAATATTTTTTCATAAAAAATATTATGCACAATTAATGGACAATGCAATTTTATAATATTTTTTTCATTAAAATTTTTTGTGCTTAGGGATCCAACAAAATAAATTTTTTAATTACAAAAATATTTAATAAAAATTTATGAATTTAAACTATTACAAGAATCATAAAAAAAAAAAAAACAACTTACAATTAGCTGCAAGCAGGACCTACGTAAACACTGTTTGGCGGAAGTGAAGAGTGAGGGTGATGGGAGGTTAAATAGTTGGCATTTTCTTTTTTTAATTAATTAATAAATATGATATAATACAAATGTATTTATAAAAAATTATTATATTATATATATCATATATAATCAATATAAGTATATATTAATATGACAAAAAAATTTAAAAATGAATATATAATATTAAAAAATTAAAAATTAAAAAGTTTATTTTTTTAGTTTGTTTGGTTTTGAAATTAAAAAAAATTAATTAATTTTTTCATACACTCATAACCAATTAAAACCAATGAAAAAAGTTATTAAATTTTAGTCCAATTTTGCACCATTGATTTTAAGTTTTAATCCTTATTTATGTCATCATCTTTTACTAAAGTCTCAAGTATTATACGACTCTTTTATGGATTATATTAACTAATTTAAATATAAGCTCACTGAACAAAACTCATATGCTTTTAACTTCATTGATGGCAACAACTATGGACCATGATCCTGGGGAAGTTAGCCAAACATAAAGGAGCATACAAGCCATTATGACCATAGAAGAGAAACTAATGTTGAACAAGAACCAACCCACCAAGGTATGTGCATGGCTCTTACAATATCATGGAAGTCAAAAATGGTTTTTGTTTATACTCTTGTGGACAACACGATGATGACAGACAACAGTTTAGGAATTCTAACTTTTTATTTGTAACTAGACAATGAACGAGGTGAGTAAGAGAATGTTTTTTTTTCCTCTACCATAAGGTTATGACATATGAAAAACTAAGCGTGTGGAAGCCATGAAGCAACCCGAACTCTCATTCAGAATCTAAACCATACACACATTATATATTGATAAAATAATTTATTAGGTGATCTTATACAATAAATTTAAAAATACATCACTTGCTTACTTAGTTTCAAAATATTCAATATACAGGAGATATGTTTAAATCTTAAAATAATACTTATTGTAACATAAATAATTAGCTTTAAGTATTACTAGAAATAGAGTAAAATAGACTGATCTCCTAACTAATCTGTCGCTGTTCAGGAGTTGAGTATTGATCGTCCTGATATGAAAAAGAATAAATAAGGAATTATTTGAGGTACATTAACTCAGTAACGATATGAAAAGCCTAACAACACAATGGTTCACCGAAGATTGATAGAATATAAAACTCACCAATGGAACATCTCATTTCCAATAAACTCATATTTTTTTAAGGAAAAAAAAAAGAGGGAAAAAAAGAAAACCTTCTTAGTCCTTTATTTCATGAACATCCCCATACTTCATACGATCTAATTCTCTCTAGGATCTCAGATTGTTCAATAAAGCAAGGGTTCAATTTTTCTTTCTTTCCAAATCTAGTGATGCCCTTGAGAGGCATGATTTTAAGATAGACACAATCGCCTACTTCGAACTCTAAGTCCCTTCTTCGAGTATCTGCATAATTCTTTTGTCTGTTTTAGACTACCTTGATATTCCTTATGATCTTGACAATCTTTGTTGTAGTCTCATCTGCAAGATCTAGAACGATTAATTTCCTATCTCCTACATCTTTCCAACATATTGGTGATCTATAAGGTCGACTATACAATATTTCGTAAGGGGCTATGCTGATACTTGTCTGATAGCTATTGTTATAGACAAACTCTATCAATGATAAACAGTCATTCTAGTGGCCTCTAAAATCCAAGACATACGCCATAAGAATGTCCTTTAATGTACGAATGGTTCTTTATGACTAATCATCTATTTGATAATGGAATGTTATACTGAAAGATAACTTAGTTCCCATGGCTTGTTGAAAGCTTTCCCAAAATCAGGAGGTAAATATAGGACTTTTGTCTGATACCACCAACACTGAAACCCTATATGGTCTAACTATCTCTTTGATATAGGTATTGCTTAGCTTGTCTAAGGGGTCTATCATCTTTATAGCTAGAAAGTGGTAGTACTTGACGAGTTAGTCAGCAATTGCCTAGATACCGTCATGACCCCCACGGGCTTTGGGTAGTCCTATCACAAAGTCTATGGTAATGTGTTCATATTTTTATTTAGAGATTGGTAGCAATTGGAGTAGGTCACCTGGTCGTTGATGCTTTGTCTTAACCTGTGGATAAGTGAGACACTTAGAGATAAAATCGTCAATATCTTTTTTCTTACTGTTCTACCAAAATCGGGGTCTTATGCTTTGGTACAT